TTAATTACAGCTCAGTCGCGAGCTGACGCTCCACCTGTAAAGGGTGCTTGATGCCAATTGAGCTTCTGGTTCGACTATATGTTGTCCAGCTTAGAACCCCCATTCTTAAAACATATTCTTTAAGTTTGCTTAATTGTCACCATGCATCAAGCGAAAGCACGCGCACACACTTTGATGCATGTGAGAAGGCAGCGAAAGCATACCAAAGAGAGACAGAATAAGGCACACACGATAAGGGTGGATGTGCGCTCCTGTGTAGGGCCAAACGCGAACCGGTTCATGGAGCGCTAGTTTCAATTCCCCAGTCTCATAAATCGGTTCACCCATAGATGCCAAGAAACTGAAATTCCATGTGGAGTCGTAATACGTACAAAGGGAGTAAACTATATGCATTTCACGCGACGCACCAAACGATTCCAATCGTTGCGTGGGACGCTTCTTCCTGCTTGGAATTTTTGAAGGGAGCGCTTCAGATACTCCCTTCTCATTTTAAGCCGACCTGCTGGGATGTGTGCCATGTTCCCACATCAGTGGTGATCGCTGTAAAACAAACAATCACAATAACGGCATATGGGTTCCCGCTACGATCAATACTGAGCTACTGCACCATGCGCGATCCAACCCTAAACCTTACCCTAAACCCTGAACATTAAACCCTAGACCCAACAATAAATAACAAGTCCCAGAGCTCTTACGACACGCAGAACGTCAGGAGGCAAGAAAGCTAGCAAATGTTGCAAGCGCGCTTAGTGACGAGAGGCCGTTGGATGGCATAAATTGTCTACTAAATATTTGACAGCAGTCTGCAGCGCCTCAAGTTCTGCCGGATGCAAAACGCAAAGTAGCTGATCCAGTGGGGATTTGTGCATGCAAGAGTGAGATAAAATTTGATGTTTATCCCCGTAAAAGAAAGCCAGTTAGCTGATGGTTTCATATAAAGTTCGCCCTTAGTGGCATGCAGGCAGTGGTTCTGGGCCTGCCTTCGACATGCGGTGACTCTGTGTTAAAGCAAAACTATGCATTCACAGATTCATTGTCATGCTCTGGTTCCTACTTCTGTCGTCTTCTATACTGCAATACAGACCGTAGTTCCCGCCATTGGATGGAGGTCTACTGCGCTACTGTGTTGTGTGCGGAGCATAACGTTCACCTTTATGCACTTATACTTCGGTACCATCTGAAAAGAAAGCAAAGTTTCCGTGTCTCCTGTTCCGCGCGTGGCGTCGGCCGATAAACCTAATTGCAGCTATCGTCGTTGCATTCAGCTTGAGCAGTTAAGTTGGCAGCAACCTAAATGTACTGCCAATACCATACATTGCGGGAGGCTGGCAACGCCCATCTTCTCAAACGATCTGGAGATCTGCCGGGTGTGAAAAGAGCACTCAATCCTCGCCACGGATCGGCTGTAGTCGAATCCATTAAGCTGAGGGGTTTTTATATTATCTGGTGAGCTTCCGTTCAGTCACTAGTCGTCCTGGAAACAGGAGTCTGGGCCTGACACGGTGAGGAGGCAAATTCTGTCATGAGTTCCAACGCGCCTTGTTGCAGCTCTTGTCGCAAGGTAACAATGCATGCAAACATCCCTGCCCCGCATTTTGGCGCATGCACTAGCCCCCTGGGTAATTGTTATACATCCCCTTAGCTCCCAGATGTTAGCTTCCATGCAAATAAAAATGCGTGTACTATCTTCGAACAGAACTTGCTATACCTGCTCCTTTCTCGTCAAACAGTGAGCTGCCTCGTGCGTCTGGCCAAGCAGCAAGGGATAGGTGCATAGATGTCTAAATTCACCGCTTTGTCCATTTCTTGTCATTTAGCTGAATCCTATGTTAAACAAAAAGGAATGGAGGCCAAGATGGAACCTGTAGTAGTGGCCAGTGCGCTTCCGAGTCCAGTGAAAGCAGCGTAGGTTGTTGCCCCGAGCCTGCGTTCTACTCATTTAGGCTAAATATCTCACAATTTGCTGCTGTTAGTACTCAGTTATACAATACCATTAATGTTCAACACTGTTCAAGACATCAAAGAGTTACATACCGAACACAATCGAGGCAAGGACATATGCTTCTAACCGGATTTGTAGATGGCTTTCCAAAACGTTTCGATCTATGCATGTCGTGTAAGTCTTTAATATTCTGCTCTGTACGTTGGAAAATAAAGATACGCTTGGTGCCCCCCAAAATCGGCAAATTATCCACCGTAATGGTTAGCATCACATTCGTGGTATTGCTGAAACGCCCAGCTCAGCTGACTGCTTACAGACAAGTCGGAAGTCTTGTGTAAGGTCA